TTCATGTTTGGTGTTAACAGCTCATTGAGCTGTACACCTCTTCCTGAACAATTGTCAGGTGTCTAAAGAAATAGGAGAGAACTCTATCCTGTTTGTATATTTTGTCTTACTATAATAGTTCACATTTTACTGTTTTTCTTACATATTTAACATTTGGAAACTTAATTAGTATTTTAAATGAGAGCTTACATTTGGGGTATAATTATATGACAAGAAGTTAATTTCACCTAATATGGAAGACAAAAAAAAATCACTGACTACAGTGTTTAAGACTGCATATACAACCTTATGTAAACTCCTGCCCCCTTGTGTTTATTCATTGCAGTGCAGCCTTTATTTAAATAATTGCGTTTTAAAGTGTTTCTCTACAACCTAAAGTGCCAGAAAAACATAATCAGTTAATCATTTATTGTATACAGTACACAATAGACCATACATGCATAAGAGCAACTGAGCTTTAATGGGCAGCATAGAAGACTAGTGGAAAGTTGTTAAATGTATGCATTACCACACAGCTTTTAATTATTGGATCATGTATTACTACTAAAATATACTGGTATGATAACATTCAAATCTGCACAACTCTTCTATATTGTCTACTTGTTTACACACACACACACACACACACCCTATATTAAATGAATGTTAAGATTGCAAAGTCAAGCGCTCAGAATAAGGAAATGCCACTTTTAAGGTGGCCTATTTAGCCTCTTTCTGTGTATGCATTAATAGTCTATTTTTCAGTATGCAAACTATTTTTTCAGTATGCAAACCTTATCTTGTTCAATATATAGCATGGATGATGCTCACTAAATGAGCAGCTTTTTAGTGTTCCATTTTATTTTATTGCTCCATTGTTATTCGGCATAAATCCTTGGGCCTTGGATACTATTCACATCCAGCTCTAAAAAAATAATTTTTCACTTCCTCATGAGAAACATTACAAAAAAACCCCAAAACTTAACACTATAACATCTGTTTCACAAACATTAATGAATTTGCCTTTACACAGTACCTCTATGAAGCAACATATTATTCCTGTTTATATAGAGAGAGCTGAGGTACAGAGAAATTAGTGTCAAAAGTGTACTCTAATTTTAGTTGAGATTCCTGTAGGCCTGATTTTTCATTTTATTTTTTTTAGAGCACAGCCTTCATAGGCTTCACTTGCAATTGGGATTGATCTGGACTTCTGCATATCAAACTCCAGATAGGCACCTAGAAAATGAGGAACACACAGTGGCCATCTGTGAAAGTTTGGTTTAAGTGACTTGCCTAGCATCAGACATGGATTCTGCGAGGGGCAAAAATAGAATCCAGTTCTTCACAGCAGTGTTCAAGTACCATAACTATGAAATCATCCATTCTTTTCCTGTAATGCCCTGCCTAAGGCTTTCTCTACACTTGCCCTTGCTTGACAAAACATTGGTCATGCATGGGTGCTTGTACACCACACTCCCCCTTCCTTTCCCCCTGGTGAATGACAAAGTTTAGCCACAGTAGTACACATGTGATTGCTGTTTTTTTGGCAGGACCTGGCAAAGTGAAATCTGCTCGTTGCGGGCAGAAATATCTTGTCTGCAAAATTGCTGACACACAGAATTCACACACTGATTTTTAGCGACAGTGCTGCGTTGACACCCCTTGTCACTAAAAGCTGCGTAATATAGACATAGCCTCACTATTCACATACTAACAAATGAAGCAAGGACGTTGCAGACAACTGTCTCCTTTCTTGCACAAATCTTTATCATTCCTTCCTCACCACCCACCTGTTTAACTGGGACAGGTCTCCCCAGTTCATTGTCTTTTCTGCCAGACATTCTTGTTGCCTTCATAGTTGGTGGGGGGGAAGAGAGAGAGGTGATCTCATGGTTACACTAGCCCTTATTTTATACTTTTGTGCTTGGAAAAATACTTGCTCAAACATGGACTAATGTCCTGGATGCCTTGCTGAGTTATGGTAGCTCAAGCAACTGTCTCTTATTGAATTGTAAATCTTTTATTTACAGTTCCCCTGATGGTTAATGGCTGGTGATGGTCTCTTAACATCCATCTGGGTATTGGTCATTTCTTCTGTTGCCACTGGAGAGTTAGCAGTGGGTGTGTCCCAGACTCTAATATATTTAAACAAAAATCATATAGTAAAATCTCCTCACTCCATGTAAGATGATTATGTGCATATTGACAGAACAATGTGTTTCAGAGATTTGACTTAAACGTCTCAGAGGGTAGCCATCCACAAAAACAATGAGGAGCCCTGTAACATCTTAAAAACTAGCAGATTTATTTGGGCATAAGCTTTCATGGGTAAAACCACTTCATCAGATGTGTTAAAGTGGATTTTACCTAAGAAAGCTTATGCCCAAATAAATCTGCTAGTCTTTAAGGTGCCACAGGACTCTTCATTGTTTTCACTTAGAAGGCATTGTATGTGGAAATATTATAACCGCGTATAAGTATTGAGTATCAGGTTTACAGGGAGCTGTCTTGAGGTACAGTGCTCTTCAGTCTCCAAAAGTTTCCATTCCCATGTCCACTGAACACTCGCAATTTTCATAGTTTTGCTGCTTGCAAGGAAACAGTAGCCCTTTGCTTCCACTCATATCAGTGCTCTGCTTAATATATATCACTTATTTATTTATAGTGAAATCAAATGTATTTACCAAAACATAGTGATTCAGGTAGTAGAAAACAGAAGTATTGGAAGTTGTTATGTATAAAATAACATTTTAACATTCATTCTAGAGCCTAGACTTAATTAACAAAATACTGTCATATCTAACCAAATATTGCTCACCCAAAATATTTGCAGTTCCTTACATAGTTAGCTATGACCCTCCTTTCATGAGACAAGCACGCTTGTCAGTTTGCCGTATGTGTGAGGGATCTGGTATGTCTTCTTGAACTCCAACATATAGCATCCAGATCTTTTTGTCTTTATTCATAAACTGGACACTGCCAGAATTCTTTTCTCGTAAATTTTGGCAATCTTTCAATCAGCACCTGGTTTAGCATGCAAATATCCGTACTGTTGTAAAGCATATGGTACATGGATGGCCAGACTACCACTCATTGAAAGAAACATTTCTAAGTTATGTCACAACTTAGATCCACATCTAAATTATTGATGAAAATATTGAATAGAATTAGTCCCAAAATTAATCCCTATGGGTATGTCTACACTACCCCCCTAGTTCGAACTAGGGGGGGTAATGTAGTCATACAGAGTTGCAAATGAAGCCGGGGATTTGAATTTCCCGGGCTTCATTTGCATGAAGCCGGCTGGCGCCATTTTTAAATGCCGGCTAGTTTGGACTGCGTGCCGCGTGGCTACACGCGGCACGAACTAGCTAGTTCGGATTAGGCTTCCTAATCCGAACTAGCTGTACACCTCGTCCCACGAGGCAACTCCGTATGACTACATTACCCCCCCTAGTTCGAACTAGGGGGGTAGTGTAGACATACCCTATGAAACACCACTTGTTATGCCCCTCCAGCATGACTGTGAACTATTGATAACTTCTCTCTGGGAATGTTTATCCAAACACTTATGCACCCACCTTATAGTAGCCCCATCTAGGTTTTTATTTCTGTAGTTTATTAATGAGAAGGTCATGCAGGACGGTATGAAATGCTTTACTGAATTCTAGGTATACCACATCTACTGCTTCCCCCTTATCCACAAGGCTTGTTATCCCATCAAAGAAATCTATGAGGTTGGTTTGACGTTATTTGTTCTTTACAAATCTATGCTGACTTTTACTTATCTTATTATTTTCTAGATGTTTGTAAATGAATTCCTTAATCATTTGCACAATTATCACATAATCGAAAGACTCTTCTAGAAAAAGTCGGGAACATTACAATGTGCTAGCATTTTTTAGTAATATAATGAACTTGTTTCAGCTTCTGTAATTCATAACACTGCTAAAATACAAATTGAAGGGTTGGGCCAGTCAATCTTGTGTAGTTGTTTTGAATGTTGCCATATGGAAGACAGTGATTCCGTTTTGGTGTCATTCTCCATATCAGCAAGAAAAGACCTAAGATGTTGCAGAGGTATTAGCTATTCAGTTGTTATCAGCTCCTTAAATTTTAAAGATAAAAATAAATTAGGGACATACTGGGTGCATCTACACAGCACCCGAAACTCGAAATAAGATACGCAATTTGCATTATGTAAATTGCATAGTTTATTTTGAGTCTATTTCAAAATAGGCTATTTAGAAATTTGGCGCTGACTACACAGCACCAAATTTCAAAATAACGCACTGTTACGAGCCATCCCTTAACCTTCATGCAACAAGGTTTACAGGAATGGCGAAATAGTGCAACCATTATTTCAAAAACTATTTTGAAATAATGGGCATGTTTCTAAGTCTCAGAGTAGCTATTTTGGGATACCTCAGTATCCCGAAATATCACCGCTGTGTAGACGTACCCATAGGCTGCATCTAGACTGGCAAGTTTTTCCTCAAAAGCAGCTGCTTTTGTGGAAAAACTTGCCAGCTGTCTACACTGGCCGCTTGAATTTCCGCAAGAACACTGACGATCTCATGTAAGATTGTCAGTGTTCTTGCGGAAATGCTATGCTGCTCCCATTCGGGCAAAAGCCCTTTCCCAGAAATGTTTTTGCTCAAAAGGGCCAGTGTAAACAGCTGAAAACTGTTTTGTGCAAAAAAGCCCCGATGGTGAAAATGGCGATCGGGGCTTTCTTGTGCAAAACTGCATCTAGATTGTCACGGACGCTTTTCCGCAAAAAGTGCTTTTGCGGAAAAGCGTCCGTACCAATCTAGACGCTCTTTTCTGCAAATGCTTTTAACGGAAAAACTTCTCCGTTAAAAGCATTTGCAGAAAATCATGCCAGTCTAGACGTAGCCATAGTGTAATCCATGCTGCATGATTTGTTTCTCATTTCTGTTATTTTGTTTTATAATCCTGAATTATTTTAATGTATCTTTAAAAAAGTGACATATACTCTTTCTTCTTCCTTTTAGATTCATCCAATTCTTTTCACCGAGATGAGACTATTGTTATTGTCTTGGCCTCAGTCTCTGTATTAGCTGTTTTGATTGCCGCTATATTCTTTGGATATAGGATGTTTGCAGGTAGAATTTGATATGTTCTTTTTTCATATTATTATTTTGACTGTTTTTCACAATTATAATTCCCCTACCTTCCTCTCTTCCCTCCCTTTTCATCTATTTCTTAATAACCTATACAAATTTCTAAAGACTCCCACATGTTTTCAGTCTGGGTTCCATTTTTCTTTCAGGAATCCTGTGCTTAACAAATACGTTAAGTGGACCCATCAGTCTTCTCTAAGGCCAATACCATTGGGATTCTGAGTCACACACAAAATAATAGTTGTGTAGCAAGTAATTGTGTACCTTCCCAACCTCCTACTCTTTCCACCTTTGTTTTACTAGCTTGTGGGAGAACTGTATGCATTATTACTCCTGGCTTGGCCTGTACTTCACCATAACAGCCACTGTTGCTGCCAAGTCCCAAGATAGTTCTGTAATCATTGTCATGTGCATTTTTTGCATAAAACCTTAACTATTGCAACTTTTGATTCCTATATTTGTAGGTGACCGTAAACAAGGTCTACACAGTATGAACATGATGGAGGCAGCAGCATCAGAACCTTCTCTAGACTTGGATAATCTAAAATTGTTAGAGGTAAATATGCAACTAGGAATTTCTGCATCTTTATTTACTCTTCATTGTTTGCACCACCTGTCCGATATTGTAATATTTAATGAACAGATATGTGTAATAAATATGCTATATTTTCCCACTAGGGATGTGAAAGACTAGTCGACTGTTTGATAAGCAAATGCTTATCGGATAGTCAACATACTAGTTGATTAGTCATTTCCCTCCCCCCTTGTTGCCTCTATCAGAAAGAGGCAGCGGGGGGGGGAGAGGGGAGTGGAGGGGGTGCTTCAAAGAGGCAGTGCTGCATGGAGCCCAAGGCCAGATCCTGGGCTCCACGTGGTGCAGCTGCTTTGAAACGCCACGTGCAGCCTGGGGCCAGCGGGGGACTGCTTGAGTACTCCACTGGCCCTGTGCTCCCCACAGCACTTTCATCTTTGAAATGTAGCAACAGCCTTGAGGCTGTTCTGACACTTCAAAGGCGGAGGCACCCTAATCGACTATTTGAAATTGCATTGACTATTTGATGAGCCAATTAATCTAAATTTAACACCTCTATTTCCCATTTTTATATTGTCCTAGTTCTATTTGTCTGTAAACTCTTGTGAAAACCATAAAATAAGTGAGGTTACCCGGGTGATGCCAGAAACCAAAGACAGTATTTTATTTTCTCTTTTTACTCAACAGAATCGCTCATATTAGTCAGAATGTGCTTTTTATTTTAGAAGGTGATTAACCACTGAAGAACAGTGAGAGAGATTTGTACATGTTGTATTTCAAGCACAACAAAATGCTTTTTTCTATTAGATGACCATGTTAAAAATATTTAAAAGTACAATATCTTACAGTAGAAGTCTGAAACACTGTAGTAACACTACTGTAAGTATAGAATTTACTGTGGTTTGTGTCTGCTTCCACATTGTTGAACATGTGGCACTGAGCAAAGTTTGAAGGACAACGTCACTGTGCCTCTTCCCCATGCTCCAGAAATGGCAGAGAATGATAGCAGGCTACAGGAACTCAGCTTCCATGGCCCTGTTGAGACTGCAGGGAAGTCTGGCTTCTGATGGCATGAAGGCACAGTCATTTCTAAGACAGATGGATGAACCACAGTGAAACCAGCTCCAATTTGGTGTTTGTCCTAGGATGTAATAGTGTAACCGATTAAATGGTTAATTGGTAAGCATCAGCTTAACGGTTACTGTAACAGTTATGTAGTAGGAGCCAGCTTTTAAGCCAGCTCCCAGCATGCACCGACTCCCTGGGATAGAGGCAGCAGCACTGGGTGGCAGCTGGCTTCCTGGGAATGAGGCAGCAGGTGGGAGATGGTGTGCACCAGAAGTGGGCTTAAAACCCACTCTCACCGGCTCCTGGGGAGCCAGCTGCTCCCCCACACTGCAGGCTCTGCAGCATAAAGCTTATGCAGCAGAGCCCTCAGAGCAGCCAGCTTCCTGGGAGTGGGGTAGCAGCCAGGAACCAGCATGTAACTGTAACCACTAAGATTTTTCACAGTGGCTACCTAATTAACTGCTTTTTAAAATCCTTAGTTTGTGCAAGATCTGTGCCAAGAGAATTGAGCTGACTTTATGGATCCTCCCTTAAGAATCAGTGCCATGTTATGAAGTGCCTATAGTTTCTCCCTTAGTCATGTGACTCCTGTTCCTACAGTTTGCAGAGCAAACAGAAAGGTTTCACTTGAGCCTCCAGAATCTCTAGGGAAGGCACGGTTGGTGGGAATCCTGGGGAAGAAATTCTGAGCCATTATGTGTCCATCAAAGCTAAGGTGGTTGAAAAGGCTACACAAGATCCCCCCCTTCTCACAAGTTGTTTTACCTGCAAGGCTTCAGCTGTCATGAAAAGTGCCTTCATCTGGGAACGAATCATCTCAGAAAATGAGTGCTTGAGATAATCTGGGAAAGTTACTCAATAGAACTCACTATTTGTACCAGGGAGCTTTTCCTTTCCTCAAAAAATAATAAACCAATACTATCAGCAAGACACTTCATAGCAGCAGAAGATGAAGGATGGAATTAGGAGCTTTGCTGTGAATTTTTTCTCATATCTGTACACCATAGAGCCTGTGTGTCCATCTGAGACTTCATGGCTCCTTCAGGATATTTCTGGAATCTCAGCGTTGGATGCAGGTGCTTGAACAGGATCTGACACTCTCAGAATTGACTTCTAATTATTGCTCCAAGGAAGACACCTGGTATTGATGATTTGCCTATTAAGTTTTATAAGGAATTTTGGACCCTTGGGCCAGATTTGCTTTAGGTTTTTTAGGGGGACATCAAAAAGAACAGCCACTCAGTTGTCATTGAGTGGTTCTTCCTGTTGCTTGGGAAGGGAGATCTAGGGGAGGCGAAGAATTGGAGACCTTTGTCCCTGCTTTGTCCTGAATATTATGTACCCTGATCAGATCTATTGCATTCCTACTGGTCCATTTTTGATAATCTATTGTTGGATGTAATTAAGCCTCAGAAATCTTTGATTTGCTTATTGGGTTGATTCCCGTGAGCAACAGAAGGCTTTTGATTATGTAGATCATAGGAATTTGTTTTGCATACTTTATACTTTTGGTTTTGAACCAAAGTTTGTCTTCTGTATTCAGTTACTATATAATGACATATATATGTAGTCATCTTAAAGTGAATAGTGTTTTGAGTGTCCTTTTTCCAGTCTATAAGGGAATTAGACAGGGTAGTTCCATGTCTGAGTTATTGTATGCTCTTTCTATCAAGTCTCTGTTATGTATGTTGTGAAAGCACCTTTCCGGCCTTCTTTTAGGGTATGTCTACACTACCCCGTTAGTTCAAACTAGCGGGGTAATGTAGGCATACCGCACTTGCAAATGAAGCCCGGGATTTGAATTTCCCGGGCTTCATTTGCATAAGCCGGGCGCTGCCATTTTTAAATCCCGGCTAGTTCGAACCCCGTGCCGCGCGGCTACACGCGGCACGGAGTAGCTAGTTCGGATTAGGCTTCCTAATCCGAACTAGCTGCACACCTCATTCCACGAGGAGTACAGCTAGTTCGAATTAGAAGCCTAATCCGAACTAGCTACTCCGTGCCGCGTATAGCCATGCGGCACGGGGTTCAAACTAGCCGGGATTTTAAAATGGCGACGCCCGGCTTATGCAAATGAAGCCCGGGAAATTCAAATCCCGGGCTTCATTTGCAAGTGCGGTATGCCTACATTACCCTCCTAGTTCGAATTAGGAGGGTAGTGTAGACATACCCTCACTGTTTAAGCTTGTACCCCAGTGAAAGTGTCCACATATGTTTGATGATGTGCCTCTGTTTATTACTCATGATTGTGATGTTTAGGTTCTGATTGAATGTCAGCACTCTTTTGATCAGGCATCATCAGTTCTCATATATTTAGGGAAGAGTGATGCAGTCCTGCTGGGACTTCGATAATCTCTTGCCCCTGACTTTGCTAGAGGGTTATCGTGGAGTCAGATTGGTTTAAGGCACTGGAAATTGTGCAGGGACTGGATGATATTTTGGATCAGAACTTGAAAGGAGTTATGGAAAAGTGGAGGTTGCTAAGGTGGAAAGTGGTGTTTGCCTTAACACACCTTCTGAGGGTGGGTGTTAATTATTAATCATTTAATTCTCTTTACAAAGTGGCCTAAATATATTGCTTTGTATCCTCTTCCATTCTTTTTGGAAGACTCTCTTAGACTTTTTGTGGGACGCCATCATTGGCTGAATGAGAGTATTTTGTATCTGTTCATTGTTGAAGGGAGTCAAGATCTCGTTGATCTTTTAGGCAGTTGGTACTTTTGAGTTACATTCTTTGCAGCAGCTGTTGTTTGGATGAGTGTGTTCCTTGGAAGCAATTGTCTTTTGCTTTTCTTTAGCAAGTAGAGTATTTAGGCTTTCACTGGGATTTTTTTAATGAAACTTGGATGCCTTGGTTTTGAGGTGTTACCCATTTTTTAATCAAAGATTTATGATGATTGGAATTTTTAAAGATGAGGCTGCAGAAATGGCTCTGGAGTTCCTAGGGTTGCTTGTTGAAGTTCTTATTTATGACTCTACACTAAGGTTTCCTAGTCTTCTTTTCTAGGAGCCATATCTGTTTCCTTGTTTCAGTAGGTGTGACAAAGCTGGGTTTTTTTATTTATTTTACTAATTTTACTTGGGTCTCAGTGGTTATCTTGGCTATCAAGCTAGATTTTCATTCTGTTTGTCGGTTTTCTCAATTTTTTATCAGCAGTGGGAAAAGTCCTTTCTTGGGACAGTATTGCAAGCCCGTGTCGAGCTGCTCCTAGGTAACAGTTAACCATTACCCAGTAAGCATCTGGTGTTAACTGGGTAACCAGTTAATATCTGTATTCATATCCCGTTCAGATCCTTAGTTGATACATTTGAAGCATAGAGAAGTGGAATATGGTCTGTTTGCCTATGGTTGTTGGAATGTCATATTGACTTTTGGACAACATAAGAACATAAGAACGGCCGTACTGGGTCAGACCAAAGGTCCATCTAGCCCAGTAGCCTGTCTGCCGACAGTGGCCAGCACCAGGTGGCATGACAAACAGAGGCCAAGGACACCATTTTATCCCCTGGCTAATAGCCTTTTATGGACCTAACCTCCATGAATTTATCCAGCTTCTCTTTAAACTCTATTATAGTCCTAGCCTTCACCGCCTCCTCTGGCAAGGAGTTCCACAGGTTGACAACACGCTGTGTGAAGAAGAACTTCCTTTTATTAGTTTTAAACCTGCTACCCATTAATTTCATTTGGTGTCCTCTAGTTCTTCTATTATGGGAACTAATAAATAACTTTTCTTTATCAGCCCTCTCCACACCACTCATGATTTTATAGACCTCTATCATATCCCCCCTCAGTCTCCTCTTTTCTAAACTGAAAAGTCCCAGTCGCTTTAACCTCTCCTCATATGGGACCCGTTCCAAACCCCTAATCATTTTAGTTGCCCTTTTCTGAACCCTTTCCAAGGCCAAAATATCTTTTTTGAGGTGAGGAGACCACATCTGTACACAGTATTCAAGATGTGGGCGTACCATAGTTTTATACAGGGGCAGTAAGATATTCTGGGTCTTATTTTCTATCCCTTTCCTAATAATTCCTAGCATCCTATTTGCCTTTTTGACCGCCGCTGCACTCTGTGTGGAAGTTTTCAGAGAACTGTCCACGATAACTCCAAGATCTCTTTCCTGATTTGTCGTAGCCAAATTAGCCCCCATCATACTGTACGTATAGTTGGGGTTATTTTTCCCGATGTGCATTACTTTACACTTATCCACATTAAATTTCATTTGCCATTTTGTTGCCCAATCACTCAGTTTGGTGAGATCTTCTTGGAGTCCCTCACAGTCTGCTTCTGTCTTGACTATCCTAAACAGTTTGGTATCATCTGCAAACTTTACTACCTCACTGCTTACCCCTTTCTCCAGATCATTTATGAATAAGTTGAAAAGGATTGGTCCCAGGACTGACCCTTGGGGTACACCACTAGTTACCCCTCTCCAATCTGAAAATTTACCATTTATTCCTACCCTTTGTTTCCTGTCTTTTAGCCAGTTCTCAATCCAAGAAAGGACCTTCCCTCTTATCCCATGGCCATGTAATTTACACAAGAGCCTTTGGTGAGGGACCTTGTCAAAGGCTTTCTGAAAATCCAAGTATACTATATCTACTGGATCCCCCATTATTAAACTTAAACATTCCATTATTGTTTTACAGAACAAAATATTCACTAATACTAAGGTATTTCAGTGACCTTGTTGCAATAGTGACGTTTTCATGATGCATTGCAGTGCAAGTCTGCAGCTCCTTTGGGCCTTCTCTACAAAAATTATGAAATACCAGCTGACTGTCTTCTAGCCACTATTTTTTATTTATTCCTTTTGAAGGTCTACTTCCCAGTGGCTGCTTTAAAAGTCCTACATGGCATTTTAAAAAAAACAGTTCAAACATAGAAATGATTTCAATTGCTTGTTTTTAAAACAAAATTTTACACAGCATTTTTAAAATATTGTTTTACCCTAGAAGGTGAATCTCTATTTTAGTAGTACCCTATTATTGTCTAGTTTCATATCAAGATTGTTCAATTTAGAAATAAAAAAATGGATGTTTTAACTGCTAAATGCAAACTCTCTTTGGGCTTTCAGACCCAGCCTTGCTGCTTTTCTTCTTATGCATCTTAATAAATACATGGCAGTGCTAATTATACCCTCAATTACACCTGTGCAACCCTGATTGTAAGTTTATGAGACTGCATGGTTAGCATCATTTGAAGATAATGTGATGCCTAGATATAACTGCGTGCATAATTTATGCTGGAACATCATCACTGGTGATGATGTGAGGAAAGGAGGGAACCCAGCTTGACTCAGGCTGACTTTGCAGCTGGTATTTTTTATTATTAATTTCGAAACTTAGCAAGGTGTCTGTGAAAATAAGTGACACATAATAAACATGGAATTCTACAATGCCATTCTTACAATAAAACTACTTAAAGTAGATCCAGAGGTGTAAATCGTGACACTGTGCTAGAGCAATACATAAACCCTATGTATTAGCTCCCTGACATGCCAGATTGTCTGACTTGACAGCAAATTCACTTTGAGACTTTCCCAATCTAGTCTTGTTTATCAAGTTATAATCAGTGAATTCTAGTTGCCATGTTCACAAGACCATCTTTTTCTGCGTGCACAGCTTCTGATTGTAGGCACTCTTACCGATTTCATTGTTCCTTTAAAGACACAGAGCATAGCAACTTACTAACTTAACTAGAGCGTTAATACACCCTTCCCTTCCATCAGAGCACTGAGTTGGTTTATGGTAAAAGTAATACTAATTTATTTACAAAAGGACATATGTTTAAGTGATACCAAGTAACGGGAATAAGGATAGCAATGGTTATGAATAAAAGTAAAAGGATGTTTCTAAGACTAAAACACAACTTAAAATTAGTCTTTTGCTCAAGGAAGACTTGAAGATGGTGTTTTTCACCACCATCATTCTTTCAGCATGGCAAATCTGTTCTTTATTCAGTGCTCAAAGCACCTGGTTTCCTTTGCTCCTCAGGTGAAGAATGATTTAGGGGTTTGCTCCTCCCCTCTTTATAGTCCAATCAACCTTTGAAATGCATTTTTCTGAAGAGTATTCCCTAATAAAGTTCCTGGTTGTAAATCTCAAACTGTCTGGTATAGGTGCTATGCTGGCTTCTCCCACATTTATATTATTATTATTATTATTTTGTTACAATACAAATGATCTTCCTGGAGTCTCCCATACCCGTTGTGTTTTGTCCGTAGCTAGCTTGAATAACATGGGAGACACACTTAAACCGGCAGAACTACATTCCTTCGGGAAGAAAAAAAAATGTTTTGCCAAAACATAATATGAGAGTGTACTGTAATTTTACATATAGTGTTAATGCTTACATTTCACAGTGATATTAATCAACCAGGGTGTCATCTGTTTACATCTAATGCAATACACAATACCTTATAGGTACAGATTATGACAACAGTAAGTTGGGATGCTGGGCCAGTCAAGCCAGCTGAAATTCAGTGTTAGATACCAGGGAGTCCCTTGCTTTCTAGGTTTAGGACACATCTAGGGTTACATAAATGCAGCTGTAGGATTTGTCTTCTCTGAGAACCAAATTGAGTGAAGTTGGCAATAGATTTAAAAACAAACTTTGTATACACATGTATATTTCTTTGATTGTACATAATGGGTAATTCCTTGTGGAAGTATAATGTCATGCCATTATCAATTTTAGCATGCATATGAAACTTTTCTTTGTACATCTGAATTTCAGTTTTATGAAAGTTTATTTCTTGAATATTGACACTCTCTGGTAATGTATGTTGAGTATTTGATAATGAAATTTAAAATATATCTGTATATATCCATGCTACTTGCAGCATGATAACCTCTTTTGATCATTAGTATTTTAATTAATGTAATGTCTGCTTAAAACTCTTTACAGCTGATTGGTCGAGGGCGATATGGAGCCGTGTATAAAGGTTCTCTAGATGAGCGTCCAGTGGCCGTAAAAGTATTTTCCTTCACGAACCGCCAGAACTTTATCAATGAGAGGAACATTTACAGAGTCCCGCTGATGGAGCATGACAATATTGCCCGTTTCATTGTGGGAGATGAGCGAGTCACTGCAGATGGACGTATGGAATATTTATTGGTGATGGAATATTATCCCAATGTAAGTACTTCATAGAAGATAAATTGGTTTGTTTTGTACACCTAAGAATAGTAAAATAGAGCGAATATATTTTAATATATTACCAATGTTTTTCATTAGTTTTTCTTGAGTAATAAGCTACCAAACCTAGCCTAATGTAAAAATGCTCCATAGGAATCAGTATTTTCATAAACCATAATACCGTGTGCTATATTATTAGATTTTTTTTCCATGTGATTTTACTATGTATAGTCGTTAAATTGCATTTCGTTAAACTGCATTTGTAGATCTTGGGAGAAATGCTGTGCTGTTAGTTGGGGCACAGTTCTTTTTTAGAAGCTAGGGCATACACATATATACAGTTATTTCATGGTCTAAGTGTCTGAAATAATTTTAATTATGAAATTTTATTGAAGCCTAATTAAAATATTTTGCCAAATAAATTCATGATGCTACTCTTTTAGGCAGATCAAAATATTATCTTGACTAAACATTTTTGTGTTTAACCTATTTTATTTTTCTACAATTCAAGATCCATTCTGTTTATTCTTACTACCTGTGATAGTTGTTGGAGTGCTTATTCTCTTGCTTTGCAAGATATCCCTGTCTGTTCTTGTATATAGTTCATCTTTGTATTACAGCCAGTCCCCGAGTTACAAACGCATTACAGACCAAACGCTTGGCCGTAACTTGGAATGGTCATAACTTGGAACCCACTGAGTTACATTGCGACCTCGCTGTTCGTAAGCGCGGATCACTTTCGTAACTTGGAGCCCGCATTTACGACCGCTTTGGTCGTAAGTGCGAATGGTCGTAAGTTGAGGTGGCTGCAAGTTGGGGACTGGCTGTACTTATTTAGATTATAATTAGTCCTTAGCTCAGATAATAAGTGTTGTTTGGGGAGCGGGGTCCTTCCCTTGTTATCTTTGTCCCATTTGTGGGGTGTTGGAGGATGATCTGGATCTTTCCTCCAACCTGTATTCGAGGCAACTCAGAACTTAATCGCCATGATGATGCACTTGTCGGCTGCCCAATCCTGGTCTTCCAGACAGACTGCCCTTTTTTTAGCAGCACCAACGCTGATGGAGCTGGTACAGGCCCCCATTCAGCACCGCGGCAAACCTTGCCATGTTGAGGCACCGATCATCAGCACAATCAGAAACTGCCCTAGCTTGGTTGGGCTCCAGCAACACCTCAGAGCTGGTATCTCATAACAGCTCAGGTATCTCGTAGTTCCTAGTACTGCTCCTGATCCTGGCACCAGTCGAAGTTCCAACAGTGGGGAGCACCACATATGCCCTGACCTCAACAATGGCAGGATCCAGTGCAATGGCCCTACTAGACATCTTGGGCTTCCCATTAAGGCAACTCTTCCACCCAGCACCTCTGGGAACACCAGAGAGCCTGAGGGCCAAGAAGATCTTGTTTCCTTAGCTGCCTCCTGTTCCTTGCTGGATGAGGCAGTAGCAGGCACTTCGTTGTCCCTTCCAGTCCTGAACTCTAAAGCACATCAGGACCTCCTGACACATATTACTTGCAGTCTTAATGTGTCGACAGAAGAGGTGGTGGAAAAATTGGACCCCAAGGTGGACATATACTGGCCCCCAAAGGTCCGTCCAGAGTGTGTCTGCCACTTACCAAGACGGTTCTGTCCACCATCAAGGTTTGCCAGAACAAACCCCAGCTTCCATACTAACAACAGCTAAGGGGCGGGGGGGGGCGGGGGAGAGAGTCTACTTCTCACAACAGGGGCACACATTTGTTTACTCATCCTCAGCATGGATTCCTTATGGTCAACACTGTCAACCACAAGGAAAGACGGGGTAGCCAGGGATAGTCCTGAAAAATAAGATAGACCTGAAGAAGCTGGACAAAGAAGCCAATGTGTACGACTCCTGGAATACACTATCCATATTCCAGGAGCACCTCCTGGCTGACTCTCGACAGGTGTTTGCCATGGTCTTGGAAGAGGGAAAATTGTGGCTTGAACCTCCCTCCAGGCAGCACTAGACTTGGCCTGTCCGGCAGCGAGAACTATGGCCACAGACATCACAATGCATTGCAGCCCCTGGCTGTAGTTATCTGGGTTCCCGACAGAAGTTCAGAACACAATCCAGGATATTCTGTTTGGCTTTTCAAAAAACAGTCCTGCACAATCAGACTCCAGTCTTCACAGTCTAAGGGATTCTTAGGCTACTCTCAAGTCACTTGGCATTCACATGCCAGCACCTCAGAGAAAGTCTTTCAAAAAACAGCCCCTTGCATGTTTTTGCCGTGCTCCTCCTAGGCAGGACTATAATCACAGACAAGGCGGAAACAATCTTAGGAGGTGACCCTCGCAATTATCCTCTGGCCAATGTCCGGGCCATTTGAAATAGCCCTCTGTGCTGATGACAAACTTCTGAAGGTACACCCAGGGACAGAGCACCAGCCCAAATCCCAGATCTTTACCCCCCATCTATCTCGCTTCTACCGTGCCTGGGCCCAAGTTACCTCAGATCGCTGGGTCCTGAGAATGGTAGCAGTGGGATATTCTATACAGTTCTCTCCTCTCCCATCCCACCTTCCCCATCCCTCTTGGGGACCCTTCTCACAAGCAATTCCTCATTCAGGAGGTGCAATCACTTCTCCCACTGGGGGCAATAGAGGAGGTTCCTCAAGAATACTGGGGCAGGGCTTTCTACTCCCGATACTGCCTTATCTGCAAGGCCAAAGGCAGACTCAGGCCCATTCTAGACCTTTGAAACTTCAATGCTTTCATAAGAAGTCTCAAGTTTTGTATGTGCTCTCTGGTCTCTCTCATCCCCTCCCTAGATCTGGAGGACTGCTATGCTGCCCTGGATTTGAAGGATGCATACTACCATACATCTTCGCATATAGGAGGTTCCTGATATTTGTCATTGATGGTTGGCATTATCAATTCACCATACTCCCATTTGGTCTCTCCAAGGCCCCATGAGTATTCACAAAGTGTATAGGAATGGTGGCAGCCTTCCTGCTCAAATGTTGGATACAATTTTTCCGTACCTGGACAACTGGCTCGTCAACGGCCAATTGTGGGACAAGTTTTCAGCCATGTGGCACTGACACAAGCCACATTCACTGAACTTGGGGCTCACTCTGAATGCACCCACATCCCCGCTTGTCCGGATGCATAAGATAGAGTTCATTAGGGCCCTCCAGGACTCTACATGAGCGAGAGCCTACCTACCTGAGTCCTGTTTTCACATGCTCCTGGATCTCCTCGTCAGTTTCCAGAAGTTCCTCACCACAGCAAGGAATTACGTAAGGCTTCTCAGGCTCATCACGGCCCACGTGTTTGTTGTTCAGAATGCCGGGCTGCATCTTTTCCCCCCTACAGGCCTGGCATGCCAGGGTGTACAAGACCCATAGGGACCCACTTGACAGTCTAGTCACCCTCCCAAACTCAGTTCTCAAATCCTTCAGCTGGTGGCTTTAACCTCAGGAAGTCTTGAGCAGAAGTGCCCTTTGCCAACCTCTAACCCTCTCTTGCTCTAAGTATGGCCACATCAGAGACAGGGGTGAATCTGCTGACTTCCGAACTCAGAGACTCTGATTACAATCAGAACTATTGCTGCACATCAATGTCAGATAGCTCAAGGCAGTTTGCCTTACTTACCAACTCTTTTTCCCCAAACTACTAGGAAAGTGTGTCTCAGTACTAACAGACAACATGACAACAAAGTTCTGTATAAATAGACAGGGTGATACTTGCTCTTCTCCCCTTTTTCTAGAAGGCTACCTCCCAGGTAACTATGTCAACAAGAGAAGCCTTCCTGGCTATATAGTATTCCACTCTGCAAGTTTGGTTGGTATAAATGCATTGTTCAGGGGTGTGAGTAGTGCACGCCCCGAGAAACAGTTATGCTAACATAAATTGATAGTGTAGACCAAACCTAAATGTTCTGGTACTGAAAAAATTATAGGGAAGTAGGTTAGTAAACCTTTTTATTATGGCTAAAATCCTGATATTGTTCAAAGTCCACCATTTTGTACTTCACACAATTTCTTCAGTTACTGTTATTCTGCCACTGTTCACCAGGAATTTCAGAATGTTATAACACCCACAAAAATAAATGCAGTTTACTTTCATTTTCTGATTAAATCCAAAACCCAGTAGCAGTAACAAACACTGATAAAGGTAAACTTGGTAGACTAATGAGCAATTTCAGTATCGGGTTCTCAGGGAACAAGCTCTCAGGGAGCATTGACTATGATGTGGACCCTTGAAAAGGTTTTGACTTGATTATTCGACTTATATAATTTCAATCCACTGTTTGTATTCTTCCTCTAGGGTTCTTTGTGCAAGTATTTGAGTCTCCACAACAGTGATTGGGTGAGCTCCTGTCGTTTGGCACATTCGGTAACCAGGGGCCTGGCATACCTTCACACAGAATTACCTCGAGGAGGTATGGTTGAGAAGGACGTGTTTATACCACAGTAATTGGGGATGGTATCAAGTAGTAGTTGAAGGGTTCTGTTGCTTTATTTTTAATGTTAGTAGTGAAGAAAAAATGTATGATTTGAGAAACTAATGTGAACACATGACTCAAAATACAGACTGCACCAAACTTTCTGTAATACATTCTGATCTCCTAAATGGTGTAGAGCCATTATGTAGAATGATAGGCACTTTTATGTGGAATGAGAGATTACAGAATCCTGTAAATAGGCTTGCAAGAAGCAGAGTTGTACAATGCTGCTGTATCATAGCATCAGGTTACTACAGACCTAAAGAATTTAACGTACAAGTATCTAAATGAAAGGAAATAGTGTTCTGATGTGTTGTGTAGTTCTGAGGTGGCTCACTGAAGCAATGTCCGTGGTTAAAAAAATGAAATGGTATGAAAAATAAAACAATAGAATGGAAGATTTCTTTTTCTTCCATACACGTAACACCCATTCTTTTTTAATTTCAGGACAAAGACCATATCTTTTGATATATAGATATAATTACCTACATATTTTAATGCTTTATTACTGCACTAGATGGGATAACATACTGATATAAGCCTTTTTCTTCTCCATTCTTCATTTAACATTTTGGGAGCTAAAGTGTTGTGTTTATATACTGGAGGTATATGGTGTAAAATATTACAGAGTGTTGTCAGTCAGTGAGATATTACCCTTTTGATTACAAAGGAAAAGATAAAAAGCTGTGGAAAGATTAGTTCACCAGTAATTAAGAGAATTTGAGTGGGTGCTAAAGTTTAGATTAAAACTAGATTACATAAAAATAAGCACTGATATTTGCCAAGAGAGTGAAAAATCAATGAAAGTAGCTGTATGAAACTTAAGGCTGGTGTTAGCATACTTTGAATTCATGTTATGCTAGTGAAACTGCGACCACCACCATAATTTAATCATTTTGAAATGTATATCCAGGTATATCCATAGAGCTAGAGCTATAGACTGATTTGTAAAAGCCCAAGGGGGGCTCACAGTATATAAGAAACTCCAATGGTTCCAGGAACATCATAATATCATATCAAAACCACTTCAAAAGTCTTGGCTTTTGTAATAAACAAAGTCTCGATTCAAATAATGGATATAAACTGTTTTACTGTCTGGCAGGAGTAACTTCAGAATTCTTGTTAAGTTTATATTCACAATATTTTAAGATAAGAACATTGCCAAGCCTCTGCAATAAACCTTTCCAGAAAGGTTTACATTTAATTTGTTCAGTCATATTCCACAAATTATAGTCAAATCCACACAAAATTGCTAAAAATGGGTAAAGCAGCCAACAATATTTGAGTGTTCTACTCCACTGTTTCTCAACCAGTGGTATGAGTACCCTTAGGGGTACTCAAGAGAAGTCTGCTGGGTACATCAACACAGCTGAAATTTGGAGAAAACTGAATTTTTGTTTTAAGTTTTACAGCCTTTATTATTTTTGTACTTTTTACACCCAAAAATTTCATTGCCTGCCCAGCTATCATTAAGATGTTTTAACAAATGTGTTGCAATGGTAGAAAAAAAATTGTGTGTCTGAAAACTGTAGGTACTGGGGGTACTTATAATTTTTTTAAAGGGGTACTTTATTTAAAAAAAAAAGGTTGAGAAACACTGTTCTACTCTAATACACCTTTTTGATATTTTGAGACCTAATTTAAAGCCAGTTACTTGTGTAGGTCCACAGTTCATTTCTGGAGCCAAGCTGTGACTAAGCAAATATCACCTGTTCAAGTTCACTCATGCAGGTCATTAAGAAATCTGTTTTTAAGACGGAGGCTAAGCAGTTAGGAACAGTGAGTGTGTCTGCACTCCAACTGAAAACCCCAGCTGACCCGTGCCAGCTAATTTGGGCTCGTGGGCCTGGGACTAAGGGGCCGTTTAATTGTAAGGTAGATGTTCAGACTTTTGCTAGAGTACAGGCTTTTGCAGTAGCCCAGGCTCTAGGAACCTGCAAAGTGGGAGGGTTTTGAATTACAGACCAAGCTCAAACCTTTAACTGCAATTAAATAGCTCAGTAGCTTAAGCTCTATGAGCCCAAGTCAGCTGGCACAGGACAAATGTGGGTGCCTAATTGCAGTATATGCTTACCCAATATGTATTCAGTTGTCCAGATGGAGTGATAAATCTAAGAGGAATCTGAGGTTCTTCTGTGGGGTGACTGAGATCCACTGCAGGACTAGTGCATTCAACCATTGGAATAAGTGTGAGATGTATACTGATATAAGTACCCTCGCCTGTCCAATTTCTGTATAGACACTAAACTAATTATAGTGAATTGATGCTTTCTTTTAAATGAGGACTCTATGAATACTTTGATTTCATTTGGACTGATCCTTAGATCAACAACAGTGGATCCAAACTAAGGATGTGAATAGTTAACTGGTAATAATCACCCTTAATGGGTGATGCTTGCTGGTTCTGGTTAATGTAAGCGGGGGAATGGTCCCGCTATTGTGGGGAACTTTCCTGGCTTCTATACACCCCGGTGAAATGAACCAGCGAAAGGATCTGAGTCCCCGCTCCCACTTCCTTTACCCCACGGCTCCCTGATCCTGAGGGCGCCCCCTCCACTCTCCTGAGTAGCAGAGCCCTTGAAACCCCAACAAGGCTGGGCCCAGGTTTCCTGGGGCTTAATCCCTGACCTTGTAGTCACTAGGGGCAGGAGTTAGGGTGTCCCCACTCCGAGGTGCTCTCTTTACACTGCAGGCCTTCTTGGCCCAGTGATCACTTCATAAGGTTCAAAGCAAATACAATTTATTAAACAACAACGGATTAAAGAGAAAAGAATAAGAAAAAAATGAGAATGGTTAAATGAGAACACACAGCCCTGCTCTGTAGCACAGGGACATCAAAACAGCAGCCTGCAGAGTATAAGGACAGTCCACAGTCTCTTTCTTAGAGGCCCTGGATATGCTGCAGGGGGAGCTACAGGCTGGACACGCTAGCTCTGGGAGTGACCACATAGTCTCAAGCTCGAAGTGGCCAGACCCCTCTCCCAGTCCAGAGCCTTTCCCCACACTTTGCTGGTTCCAGGTGCTCACCACATCCAGCTGCAGGCTGTGCTGCTTGGCCAGTTCCAGCTCCTTGTGTTGCTTCTCTGTTCCTTTTTGCTCTCTGAGCCCAGCCAGTCTGCTGCTCAACACAGGGTCTGTGCTCCTTGAGTTGTGTATGCCTGGCTCTGCTGCTGCAAAAACTGCCCCTCAGCACAGCTTGCACTCCTCTTAGCAGTGTCTCAGCTCTCTGTTCCTTTTGCAGGACTTCTTCATACAGCTTGCACTGCTCTTTTCAGCTCTCTGTCTTTTGCAGGACCTCTTCTGCACACAGCTTGTTCTGCTCTTTCAGCTCCCTGTTTGCTCAGAGAGAGCCAGAACAACCCCCACTTACAACCTGTCAGGCTGAGCTGGAGTGTTGACTGCTTTCCATTGTCTCTGGGGTCTGTCAGTCTCATGAACCCTTCCCCTTCTGAAGCTGATAAACCAAAAAACTCCCACAGAGTTTTAGTAAGGGGTAACAGTCCCCTTACATTAACCACTGGGGGCTGGAGCAGCTCCCTGGTGGGAGGGGACTATTCCAGCCTTACAGGGCATCCTGCAGGTGGGCTGCACAAGGCGTCTGGAGCAGCTCCTGTCCTCAGTGAGCCCAGGTTTGGGCTGCTCCAGCCTGACCACAGCAGGTGGTTAACCAATTAAATGTGAAGATTACTTTTTGTTTAATTGATTAACAAATTACACAGGATTTTACATCTGTAATCCATACTTGAATACACTAGAGCTACTGAAAAATGTTGAACTGTCCATTGGAATAAAAAAAAGCTTTTGACTATTATAAGGTCTGTGTACAGCAATTATATAACAATGTGTTGCATATAAATAGCAAAATGTTATGAACACCTGTCAGTGTTTCAGTAGTTTATAGAGCATGTTGTAGTGATCATTGTAAGCAGGGGAAATTGTTAGCAATCTTAAAAAGTGCTATAATAAATGACACAATTTGGTCCCCCTTTACCAAGCAGTAGAGCTACTCAAATAATAAAGAACACTTCCTTCTATTCACATAGACCATTACAAACCTGCAATTTCCCATCGTGACTTGAACAGCCGTAATGTACTGGTGAAAAATGATGGAACATGTGTAATTAGTGATTTTGGATTATCCATGAGATTAACTGGAAATCGACTGGTACGTCCAGGCGAAGAGGACAATGCAGCCATTAGTGAGGTGAGCATGAATTAAGAAAACACAGTTATGGGCATTTGTAAGTGGCAAGAGAGATGAATTTTTGAAACAATCTTGAAATACTTGTTCCTCAAGTCATACGGTAAATGCAGAGGCTGCACAATTCCTATGAAGGGGGTATGCATGTACTATATAAACCACCACAAGGTGGAGCACATTCATACCCACTATGCATAGAAGCTACATATTTATAGAAATAGTGTATATCTAAACCAAATAGATATCTCTGCAATATATCTTTCAGGGAAGCAGAATACCACCACAAAGTCACAGCAGGCACTTCCACCAGAACCACTAGTGGGAGCTGGACTCGCATGTATTGAATATCCTATTTCAACAATGGCAATTCCCACATCCAGACTTCTTTGCAACTGCCAACAACATCAAATGCTCAATACAATGCTCCTGGGCAGGCCTGGGCACAGACGCCAGTGGGGAGACACCTTTTCCATCAAATGGGACACTCTCCTTCTCTATGCATTCCCCCACCCCATACCTCTCATTCATTGGGTGATCTACAAGATCTAACAGGGCAGTGCACAAGTCCTCTTATAGCACCCATGTGGCCCAGAGAAATTGGTTCCCATATCTGGACCAGCAGTCAATAGCGCCTCCCCCCCCCCCTTTTCTGCCACAACTGCCACAACTTTCATCTCCTCACACAGGACAAAAACAGACTTCTTCATGCATAAGTCACAGTTTTCCATCTCAGAGCATGGCTCCTATAGGGTTAGCAAGATTTGAATTGCAGTGTTTGAAAGCAGTACAATCCATCTTAATCAATAGTCGAAAACCTAGTACTTGAATAACTTATGACCAGATGGCACTGTTTTTACATCTGATGTACGAATAAGGCCCTGTTACTGTGCTTAGCTCCATTACTAGATTGTTTGACTATATACTGAACCTCAAAACAACAAGGTCTTTCTAATAGTTCAGTAATGATACACTTAGCAGCCATAAGTTATAAAAAAATTGAAGCATTCACTGCATTTTCCATCCAACCAGATAGCATTTCATGAAAGGACTGAACAGTACATTCCCACCAGTAATACAACCTACCCCAATGTGGAACTTTAACTTGGTACTTCGCATGCTTACAGGCAAACCATTCAAGCCTCTAGCCTCATGCTCCCTATTGCATCTGTCAGTGAAGGTATCTTTTCTCATTGCAATTATTACAGCCAAAAGAGTAGGGGAGCTGACTGCTCTCAAAGTGCAGTCCTCACCCCATGCAGTATTTCAGAAAGATAAAGTAATATTAAGACCTCATCCCAAATTTCTCCCTAAGATTGTATCATCCTTCCTCTTAAATCAGTCTATTGAATTTATCTGTATGTTTCCCAAACTGCACACGGGATACCAGACAGGCAATACTCCATTCAATGAGCACTCACTTTTAACCTAGAGAGAACAAAGACATTCATGAAATACTCATGACTATATTTCTCTCTACCATTGAACGTTCCAAAGGAGAACTAATATCCAAACAAAGACTATTTGCAATACATATAACTATGCTACAAAAAAAACAATATTCCTCCTTCTCTTATGATCTGCACACACTCTACTCATTTCCACATCATGGGCTTTTCCTCAAAGGCATCCTCATCGAGCACATCTGCAGAGTAGTAATATGGACATCAGTTCGTACATTCACTAAGCGCTACACAATGGAACAACATTCCTCTGCAGACACAAATTTTGGACAATCCATATTAACCATAGCACACAAGCATATCATGAAGTCCCACTTTCCACAACAAGGCACTGCTCCATAGTCACATAATGTGGAGCACCCACATGGACACTTCTCAAAAAAGAAGAGAGGATTACTCCCCTTGTGCAGTAACTGAGATTCTTCAAGATGGTTTTCTCTGTGGGTGCTCCACGACCCTCTCTGCTTCAGATCAATCTGTCCAGGGTAGAGAAGGAACTGAGGGCCAGTTGACAGTGGGCAGGAGCTAATCGCTTGCATTGGTATGAGACACTTCCACGTATGTGCCACCACCCAGAGTGCTGCTGCTGAAAATCTTCAACTATAAGCACAGGTCACTGAAACACAATGTGGAGAACCAACAGGGACAGTCAGCTTGAAGAACCTCAGTTACTGCACAAGATGAATAACCCTCTCTTCTTGGCTCCGCAGGGCCAGGTAATGGGGCACCCTCGAGGGGTAGGTAGGTGGGCTCAGTGGTATGATCAGGACAGTCTCAAGGGGACCTCTGTGACCTAACTCGTCACATCTCTATCAAAAGCTTTCCACTACATGCCGCTGAATATGAGAGCACAATACAAGGGACATAATCATTTATTTTGCAGTTTCTTGATCAGGGGAGCCAAGAGTTTATGCAGGTCCTTGGGCAAAATGTATGGGGGAGCCAGCTCCGCACTCACGGGAGGGGTGGGGCTGGAGTCAGCCAGCCTTCAATGCTTCACAGACTGCAGTGCATCCCCCCTTCATTCTTCAGATCCACTGGAACACGTGGGGTGGTGCCATGGTGGCGATTTAAAGGGCCTGGGGCTCTGGCCTCCTCCACTGCTATAGCAGTGGTGGCAGACAGGAGCCCTGGGCCCCTTGAATTGATGGGCTCCTGGGCAACTGCCCTCTTTGCCTCCCTTGTCACTGGACCTGTATTTGATAAGTACAACAGTAGAAGCAACATAGTGCAGGGAAGGTTTTATTATGATTAGCCTGGTGGTGAGTCCAAGGCTAGAGTCCAAGGATATGGAAGTAATTGCTTTTTCTGCTGAATGATAGAAAATACATAGTAGGGCAAGTATAATAAATAGGGCCTATAATAAACTGAATCAAATCTAGGCTTTACCTTGTGAGTTACAAGTGCAACTGTTTGGTCCTGCAGGTTGGTACAATCCGCTATATGGCCCCTGAAGTGCTAGAAGGAGCAGTGAACTTGAGGGACTGTGAATCTGCTCTGAAACAAGTAGATATGTATGCACTAGGCCTTATCTACTGGGAGATCTTCATGAGATGCACAGACCTCTTCCCAGGTAACTAAAGATTGACTGAAATAACTAAGTTTAATAACAAATAATGGATCAAAAACCAAATTTGTGTTCTCTCCATATTTTAAAAATACAGTCCATTACGTTTACATCACAGAATAGATTTTTTATGTTTTACACCATTTTCTCAGTGCCATCTAGTGTTAACAATTTTATTGATATTAGTACAATGTACTCGTAATACAATGGATGTGGATGAAACACATGTACATAGGGTTCATTTGTCCTGCTAATCGTCATACAAGCCTGGTGGTAATGCAATTTGGATGGAGTCGAACACTGCCATGAATTTTAGAACCATTTTGGGTTAGGAAGACTGTGTAATCAGTACATTCAGCATCCCATGTTTCTCTCAAACAGCCTTTTCTAATGGATGCGTGCATGAGAAGTTGCCAGGATGCAATGTAGATTTTCACAGCTACTTCTTATAGCATTTTGTGTGCAACTTTTTTTTTTTTTTTTAAATACCAGTATCCCCTGAAAACTCATTCAGTGCCTGTAATATGGTGGCAGGGGAAATGGACAGATAAATTGTAACCCATGGGAATGCAGCCCTTAGCTGCATTTATTATTGTAGTACAGCCAATGGAGTTTACAGGTGCTGGCATGCAGTATTCCATCTATAGCCAAAAATCTATACATTGCATGATGGTTTATTGGACCGCCCTCCCATATTAAATACAGTCTGTTTTTGTTTCATACAAATTAGATGTGTCCTACAGGTTCCTGACAAGTAGCCAATGCACCCATCAATTGAGCAAAGTTTGGGTGCCTCCCAAGGCAGTTCTGAACAAACTCAACTACATTTTGTTAATTTTAATTTTAGCTTTAATTTTCTGTTTTAGGGGATAGTGAGCAACCTCCATTCCACAATCTCCCATATAAACACGTTTGATTTACTGTTCCTTTTTTTTTTTTTTTTTTTAACAGCTGTGATTTCATTATGGGGTATGTGTTTGTTTTCCTTTCCCAACAGGGGAGTCGGTGCCAGAGTACCAGATGGCATTCCAGACAGAAGTTGGAAACCATCCTACTTTTGAAGATATGCAAGTCCTCGTATCTAGGGAGAAGCAACGACCAAAATTCCCAGAAGCTTGGAAAGAAAACAGCCTGGTGAGATAGAAATTTAAAAAGAAGCATTCACTTAAGGCATGCTCTCACTTGTCAAAGTCAAATGTTAAATACATTTTTTTTTCTACTTGACATTTAATATTTAAAATTCTAGAGCTGCTCTAGGCTAGATTTTTTTAAAATACAGAATTCAGATTAAAATAATTAATTATTATCAAACCATTTAGATTAAAACTAGGGATTTAAAAAGGGAACTGTCATAATTATCACTGGATTTTTAGGTGGCATAGGTGTAAAAGCACATAATACGTATTCATATTAATTTTACAGTATGCTAAGTGCCCAAATTTCCTCAACATAAACAAGGCAGAAATATCAAGACGTTCCATATCTAGAAATGTTATAAACTAAGAATGCTCCAGAATATTAGCTAGCAAAAATTACATTGTATTTGCTATTGAAACTAAGCAACATTAAAGATTGTAAAGCTGAGTACTTTCTTAAATTATAGCTTCTTTTAACAAGATATGTATTCCTCAGCATTTGAAGACCCTACAGCTTTCACTGAGCATGTAATAATATTAAATTTTAGAAATATCATGCTTATTATTAATTTGCTATCCATTTGAAAATTTTTACTCTCAAAAATACAGTTAAGACAAATTAGCAGATTAGACAAATTCCCCAATTTCTGTCTCTTCTACTAAGTCTGTATATCACTGACAGTCTCTGTTTCACACTATTCCACGGTTAATTGACTTAAAACAATCTCTGTAAATAGTGAGTGATATTTAGGCTGTTTACGTAAATTAGCAAATGGAAAGTATGCTGATTTTTGTGTTTATTTCTCAACCAATATAAAAATAGTCAAAGAATAGAGAGAAATTGTGGGTAAAAAAAATGGAATAAATTATTGACCTGTAATAAAATTGATTTTCTATTTGTATTGTTTCAGTGGCTGAAATTGTCTTCTTGAACCATCACAAATTTTGGTAGTCAATGTGTAACAATCTGTGCCCTGCAGGCGATAGGGAACGTAAGGCCATATCTGTTCTAGTGTGTGAAAACATGTCTTAAACCATTTCACATATGGGCACAGTCTATATCAGTCATGTTATTGCAAGACATTGTGACATTTTTTAAAAAGTGAAACTACCTAGAAACTGTTGCACAGTTTCATCCGTAAAAACAATGAGGAGTTCTGTGACACACTAGAGACTAACAAAAGTGTATAGAATCATGAGCTTTCATGGTAATACCCACTTTATCAGAGGAGTTGAAGTGGAAATAACAGAAACCAAGAATATATATGTTTTCTTGGTTTCTGTTATTTCCACTTAAATATTACATATATAAACAGTAAAAGATGTACCTGTCAATTGTAGGACCCGTGTTAATAAGGCTAATTAAGTGGGCTGGATGTGTCCATTCATAGCTTTTGATGTGAACACGTGAATGTCAAAGACAAGAGAAATTGGCTTTATAATGCGCCAACCAGTTAATATCTTTATTCAGAGCCCAGGGTAACTGTGTCAAACCTGTGGATGAATGCCAGTTCTCCAGTCTCTCCCTCTGTAAGGCTGTGTCCAGACTCAGGGGTTTTTTCAAAAAAAGTAGCCTTTTTTTGAAAAAACTTCACCTGCGTCTAGACTGCAGCCGCGTTCTTTCGAAATGAAATCGAAAGAATGCGGCTTTTCTTTCGACGGTGGCACACCTAATTCCACGAGGAAGAACGCCTTCTTTCGAAAGTGCTCTTTCGAAAGAAGGCGTTCTTGAAAGCAAACAGGCTTTTTAGAAAGAGAGCATCCAGACTCACTGGGTGCTTTCTTTCGAAAAAGCGGCTTGCTTTTTCGAAATTCTGCGTGCAGTCTAGACGCTCTCTTTCGAAAGAGGCTCTTTCGAAAGTATCTTTCGAAAGAGGCTTGCAGTCTAGACATAGCCTAATTGATTAGTGAAATTCCTTTGTAGAAGAATGGCAATTTTGTAATCCATGAATGTTCCCCTACAGGCTTATGTGTGTTAACCATTTCTGATGTCTGATTTGTGTCCATTTATCCTTTGATGTAAAGTTTGTCTGATCTGGCCAGTATACATGGCAGAGGGGCATTTCTGGCACTATCCACAAAAGCTCAAGATTCGAAATATTTTTTTAGTCTAAGGTGCCTCAGGTTTACTCATTGTTTTTAAAGTTACAGACTAACACAGCTACCCCTCACAGACTAGTTTCTTCCATGTTGTTCAAGGAAACCATGCTGCAATTGTTCTCACTACAGCAGTATTGTGATACTTAGGTTGTGTAATGTTTATTTTACAGATTTTCATTTTCAATGCTAAATTATGTTGAACTATAAAACTATTTGAATGATTATAAAGTAGCCTGGTAGTGACCCCTATATTTAGGTGACTATAATTTTTCTTGTGTTGTCCCCAAAATTTTGACTGAAATTGACATTCTAATCTAAGGCTGGGCCTATGCTTCATACAAAGAATATTCAGTAGCCATACACATATTTCAGTAGGAGCACTAGGAACAGACAACATCTCTGAGGGCTGGAGCAGAGAGCTGGTCTAGGCTTTTTCTAGTAATTCCCCCTACCTCCTCCAGACCCTAGACAATGATCCTAGTGGCCCATTTTC